CGCCATTAATCCAAATTCAGGAATGTTTTCCAGTGAGATGACGGCTTGGTCCGTGGACTGCGAAGCTAAAAAGAATTCCTGGATTCGTAAAAACCCTATTTATCCCGATTGCTCGATTCTTACTGGTTAGAATTTGGGTACGGGTGAAACGCGGGCATGCCCGATAAGGGTTCTTTGGCTCTTGGATTTGTATTTTGGATCTATGACGATGAAGAAATCTAAAAAGACTTTATAAAAATCAAAATTTTTTAATTTTGTCTTGTTTTTTATTTGTGGGGGTAGTGGAGTAAAAAGTCAGTTTTGAAAAGAGAATCCAAAATTTTTATTTGTTTGAAGAAGAAAAAAGTGATAATGACCGACTTATGATTAATTGTACCTTTAAAATAGAGTTTACTTTTGTTAGTGATCATGACTTATTAAAAACAAAAAAAAATTAAATATTATTGCTATGCTTTTTATAGTTTTTAAATAATTTTTTAATATTGTGAACCTCATTTAGTACAATTTTTTCTTCAATTCATGTGTTTTTATTGGTATGAAATCGAAGACTCCAAACGCGATTTGGAGCTGTGAGGTTTGTTGTCCGAAAAAGTTAGAAATGTAGCGGTCAAAATCTCACAAAATATATGTGATAATCATGCGCAAACGGCTGCTAAGAGTCTGGTAAGAGTGTACTTAATTTGTAAATCAGATCGCTTATATTTAGCTTAAACATTACTTAATCACCTTGTATTTCACTCAACTTGCACTTACAATACTTTCACTTGTTCTTCCACAACATTTATATATACCCTCCATTATGCGAACATAAACAATTTTCACATGAATCTTCTTATATGACAATTAGAATGAAAACTTCAAAGTACCATGCAAATAATCCTAATTATTAAAGTTTTTTCTTAATTTATAAAAACTACCTTTAAAATAGGCTAAATCTATAGAAATAACCTTTCAAGTATTTTTATACAGAAATCACCTTATAATTGGCTTTAAATTTAAATCAACCACCCAAGGATAAATTTTGTTCAATGTTTAACCTAAATGCTGAATATACTCACCATAACTACCCTACATTCCTCACCCTTGCTCTCCTTTTCCTCACGTATGCACTCTCCTCCTTTATGCAAACCACATTTGAGATGGGGGAGGAGGGGGGAGGAGGATGAAATGAGAAGAAAGTGTCACGCCCCAGGCCCATGAGCCCATTGGCGCGTGCAAGCCGTGGGACTAAGTGTGCAAACTGGTCCGGATTTATCCGGACCGACCGCAACCGTATCCGTTTGGAAAGCGAATATGGTAAGAAAAAATTAAAACCGGCCGGATATGGTTTCGGAAACGGTTACGGTTTAGACTTTTTATCCGGATATGGTTCGGATACGGTTATCGGGTCAAAATTGCTGATACTGTCCGGATATCCGGATATTTGAAATGGGCTATATATATAACACTGATTTATAAATTATAACACATTGGGTTGGGTCAAACTCAAAATCCACAACCCCACCCGTTTAAAACTCAAAAAACCCTACCAATTCCCAAACCCTATCTGCTCAAAAATCTCAACTCAACCCGATCCTCCGCCTCCCCAATTCCCAAAACCCTAAGCAGCTCCGATCCTCCGCGTCGGGCTCCGCCTCCTCCTCCGCGTCGGGCTCCGCCTCCAGAGATCCGCGTCTTCATGTCGTGCTCCGCCTCCGCGTCGTGCTCCGCATCGTGCTCCGCGTCGTGCTCCGCCTCCTCCTCTGCATCGAGCTCCGCCTCCAGAGATCCGTGTCATGCTCCGCCTCCGCGTCGAGCTTCGCATCGTGCTCCGTCTCCTCCTCCGCGTCGTGCTCCTCGTCGTTGAAAAACCCACAGTTCAAGCCCTAATTTGGTATAATTCAAAAACCCTAAGCCCTAATTTTTTTGATATCCTGATTTCTAGCATTTGTTGAGTGATTTGAAAAACCCACAGTTCAAGCATTTGTTGTAATTTGCATCATTATATTTTTTTTGTTTGATTAAGTTCATAAATTTTAATGAATAGGTATTAGAATCATGTCGTCTAATCCATCAGTTCAAGCTTCTAACGAAGAACCCACAATTGAACCGGCCATTGAACCCGCAATAGAAGAGTCTTCTAATAAAACAGAGGAAAAAGTCGAGAAAAAGGGGGGGAAATTAACTTCTAACGTATGGTTAGACTTTGAGAAAATTGATAGAGTTGAAAAGAAAATTGTCGATGGGAAAGAAGTTGAAATAAAAATCAAGATAGCGAAATGTAAACATTGCTTGTTTGAATGTGATGGACGTAGTTCAAGAGGGACTACACACATTAGAAATCACATTATGAAGTGCCCCAAAAAGAAGAGACCCGATATTCGTCAACAATTGGTTCAAGCTACTATAAAAAATGAAGATGGGACTTGTGCACTTAGTAATTATCATTTTGACAATGAGAAGAGTCAAACTTTACTTGCAAAAGCTATCATCGTCCATGAGTATCCTTTTAACTTGGTCACACATGACTTCTTTTTACAATATGTGCAATCTCTTCGTCCAAATCACAAGGTTCCAAGTCGTGCACAAATCACAAAGTTATGTATGAAAGTTTATGGTGAATATAAGAAATCTTTATTTGATTTGTTTGCCACATCTTCCATAAGGTTGAGCTTGACAATGGATAAATGGACATCATCTTCACAAAATTTGGCATATTTGTGCATTACCGCTCACTATGTTGATGAATCTTGGAAACTTCAAAAACGTATTATTGGTTTCATTAAAGTCCATAACTCCACGGGGAAGGATATATGCAATGTTTTAATCACTCGTTTACTTGATTGGAAAGTTGATAATAAAGTTTTGTCAATTACGGTAGATAATGATAAAGCTAATGATGTTGCCGTTAAAATTGGGAAAGAACGTCTTAAAAAGTATCTACCTTGTGGCGGAATCTTTTTTCATGTGAGATGTGGAGCACATATTATAAATCTTATTGTTCAAGAGGGGCTTAAAATTATCACTAAAGCTATTGAAAAAGTAAGGCTTAGTGTTAAATATGTTACATGTTCACCGAAGATGGAAGAGAATTTTTATCATGTTGCGAAGCAAGTGAATGTGGTTGGAGAAAAATGCTTAGCACTTGATTGTTGCACAAGATGGAATTCTACTTATTTAATGTTGATGAATGCTTTAAAGTACAAAGTTGCTTTTAATAGATTTGAACTTAGCGACTACAAATACATTCATTGTCCATCGGAGGAAGAATGGAATTATATTGAAACTTTGAGTAAATGTTTGAAACGCTTTTATGATGCAACTATTCTCCTTTCCGGTAGTATGTATCCTACTTGCAATCTTTTATTTGAAGAATTTTGTGAAATTCAATTGCTTCTAATGGAATGGTTAAAAAGTAATAATGATACAATTGTGGCGATGGCTTTTGCAATGAAAAGAAATTTTGATAAATATTGGAGCATGTGCAATAAAATTTTTACGGTGGTTACTTTTCTTGATCCGAGGTACAAAATAATTGCAATAAGATATTACTTTAAGGAGATTTATGGCATGGATTGTGAAAGGTGTACACTTAAAATTTTAGATGTCATCAAAAAGTTGCATAGAGAGTATGCATCTCTTGATGAAAAGCAATCCAAAAATGATGAAAATGCTTCAAGCTCACAAGCAAAGGAAGTAGAAAGAGTTGGTGATAAAAGAAAATCTAGATTTGCACAATTTGTTGAAACTATTGAGAAAGAGCCTACAAAGACGGATTTGGATTTATATATGGAAGAGAGTATTGTCCGGTGCGAAGATGAAACAACGAGGAAATTTGATATATTAGATTGGTGGAAATCAAGTCTTGGAAGGTATCCTATACTAGCAAAAGTTGCAAGAGATGTTTTGGGTATACCGGCATCAATCGTGGCTTCCGAGTCGGCTTTTAGCACCAGGGGGCGTGTGATTCATTGTTATAGAAGTCGAATGACAACGGATACTGTAGAGGCGTTGATATGTACACAAGATTGGATTAAAGCAGAGAAAGGAGGTAAATTTATAAATTTTGCATAGATTATGTTATATTTGGTTAGTCGTACATTAAATGATTGTATGTTTTATTCTAATAAATTTTTTGTAGTTACAAAAGTGCAAATTATGAATGATGATGCTCTTGATGTGGTTAAGCTTTTGGATCACAACGACTCGGAGATTGTCGAAACATTTATAAAATCACCCATAGGTTTGTTATTTAACTTCATAAGTATATGATTTGAAATTTATAAATTTTCACATATTTAACAAGACAATTGCTCTTTTCATTTTTTCAAGGTGACATCGTGGAGGTCCTTGACTCGGATGATGAGATTTAATATTTCTCTTGCATTGATGGGTCTCATCTTTTGGTTTATATTTTCTTCTCAAGAATATGATTGTCTTAGTTTGCATGCTTTTTTTGCTTAGGGAACTATATTATAGAACTTGTGGGTTTTTAATATATTGTATGTGACTTTGCTCATGTTAAGTCTGTACGTGACTTTATTTCCGGATTTGTGGCTTGTTATTTATGGATTTGTGACTTGTTGTTTCTGGATTTGTGACTATTATTTTTTGAATTATGACTTTATTACGTGTTTTTTGTCAAAAACATTGTGATTTCATTGCCATGAGAATGATACAGGCTCTATGAATCAAAGAGAGAATGACTTCATATGGACATCAAACGGTTCATTTAAGGTAAGTTGTAGTTTGTGATGTCAGTTGTAGTTGGTGATTATCACATTTTAGTTATGGTATTCAATATTTTTTATTTTTTGTTTAGGGCCTGCTATGGTGTTCTGAGGTTTGTCATGCAAAATAGCAACAAAGTCTATGAGGTAACTTGTCTTACTTGTTTACTTTGCGGGTTATTAAAATCATATGTATTTTTTATCATATCCTAGTCATATCTATTTCCCAAATATCCGTTTAGTATCCGTATCCGAACTGTATCTGTCTCTCTAATATCCGA